TGTATTCTTTCTGAATTTTTCCGCCAATATCAACATAAAATGTGAAGTATCATAACTTTCAAAACTGTGTTCCACTTAGAGTAGATATCATTTCTATCTATTCATCATCTATTATTTGCATAATATGTGAAAGATCAGTTTTATTCTCTACTGGGATTTGACGACTTCGGTAATAAACAACAAAATGTTATATTATGGAGATATCGTTTTGACAGTAGATTTGTGTCAGACAATGCCCTGACAATGCCCTGACAATGATATGACGTCATGAACTTGTTGACGTCACAATGTTATGACATCGCTGCACTGCAAATCTAATGGCAGTACTGTGTTCAGAGATGTACAATTTTCATTGAAAACTAATGAAGAGTGATTTTTGATGATAAATAGAATCTCACCCTCGTGTCTTCTGATATCAAATATATCAACACTCGTTGATAAAAGTAAAAATATCCTCGGCAAGCCTCGGATATTTGTTACTTTATCAACTCGTGGTGATATATTTGATATCAAAAGACACTCGGGTGAGATTCTCTATATATTCCTCGCTCTCGCTCGGGAAATACGAACATTTAGGCACTCATGTCGTAAACAGTATGACATAGGCACTCATATAATATCCTCTATTTACGATGAATAACCATCTTATTACTGATTTCATTAAATCGGTTGGTTGTAATGAATGAAATACATACATCTGTATTTGCATTTTTCAAGACGATTAAATGAAATACTGTGTTGTTTAATTATTGTTAACAGCAACCTTCCAGCTTAATGACAGCGGTCTGTAAATAACCCAGTCCGGATAAACAATCCATCGATTGACGTCATGAACACCGACCTACGCAACTCAAATACGATCAACGAAGTCACCATGACAACGCGATTCCATTCGCCGCCAATTAACCGAAAGGAATCAGTTGTGTTAATATTTCAAATGTACTCTTGCTATCCATGGACCCCATTAAGATCTGGGTCAGAATAGGTCTTCAGGAACCCATGCTTGCACAAAAGGCGACTATGCTTGTCGTAAGAGGCGACTAACGGGATCGGGTGGTGAGGCTCGCTGACTTGGTTGACACATGTCATCGGTTCCCAATTGCGCTGTTGATCACTGGATTGTCTGGTCCAGACTCGATTATTTACAGACCGCCGTCATATAGCTGGAATATTGCTGAGTGCGGCGTAAAACTAAACTCAAACACACACACACACACCCTTGAAAATGACTTTTTTTTGAAGATTTATTTTTTTTGCGTTGGCGCAGCCAAGGGGGGTTCAGGGGGTTCGAACCCCCTGAACACCCCCCAACCCTCCTTTCAAAATTCCTGGATCCGCCCATGGATCGTATATTTGTACATTTTCATTGGATGTCGGAACTACTTTGGCAATGACAAGCCAAACGTATATTCTACACAGCTACCTCACTGGCAAGCGAGAGGGAGAGAGGGTGAGAGCCTGCTGTCGCCTAGGTGGTCCAGTGCAGACTGACGTTGTCAGTAGTTTCTTTCTTTCTTGTTCATATATCTATGGGATGCTGATGAGTTCCTCTCTGGCTCTTTTCTTCATAGATGTTGTGATGACATGCTAACAGCCTCAGTAGTCACCTTCTACTCACAGTAGCAGATTAACTTTTTGTTTTGACAACTAATAAGTTGTCCCACACTGGCCCCCATGTTCACACCTGCTTAACGAAACGGAAACCGATATATGAGCATTACATATAGGGCTCTGGTCGACAACGCTTGGCAGAATCCAACATATACGACATGGGTTACTCTCATTAGAGACTTGTTGTTTCATTATGGATATGGTTTTATTTGGTTACAACAGAAATTGACTCTAAATTGTACAGGATTTATAAGTGCTTTTAGACAAAGGGTTATTGATATACATTCACAACTGTGGAAAATAATTTAAGTTCACTTAATGAAACAAAAATATAATTGCTTATCAAATCATCACTTACCATGGAAAAGTATTTATCTCAAATTGATACTATAAACTATAGGGTAGTCTTGACACGATTACGATTATCTTCTCATTCACTTATGATTAAGAAAGGAAGATGGGCTCGACCAAAAGTAGCTTTAGAAAACTGATTATGTCCATTTTGCAAAAATGACATAGAGGATGAAAGTATAAGTATTTGACATTTAGACGTCGCTATTTACCTCTGGACGTATACAAGTCCATGATGAAGTTTATAAATCTTTTACAAACCAAAGTTGAAGTATTCTCATGCCAATAATGGTTGTCACACACACACACACACCTCCCCACCCCCAAAGAAAGATAGGGGTCCACTCTGGGAATACACCCTTCACACCACTACGGTCATTCATAATATTTCATCGATTCATTGATGAATTGTTCGTGGTGTAATCGCACGGATTCGAGATTTTGGAACAGAACCAAAAAAACCCATACGATTTCGATTTTAATGCTTATTTTATGCTTAATTCCATACTTCAAAAACAATACGGCGTTGTTTACTTAACATGTTTTGTAAGAAAAAAATGTCTAACCGTATTTCGTAAACAAACATTGCGTTTTTCAACTGTGTCAAACAAAATATACAAGAGTATACTTTCTTCGCCCGGTAGATTGTACTGTCATACTGTAGATCACATATTGAAAGTATAGTAGTTTCTTTGTCACCTCAAATTGGTTCAGAAATATGTTGTTCAAGATCCAGTTTACTGGTCCATACTGTGTATTTGAGAACAGATCAGGTTTACATATGTTAATACTACATAAATTTTGGATATATGATAAAGTACTTGTCAATATTATGTAGAACGATTATATAATTATACATTGTTTACATTGACCAAAAACAATTAAGTGACAATTATGCAAAATACAACATGAGAATATTTTATTTTTACGCCCTTTAATATCACGAAGAGATTCTGTTTGACATGTTTGCCAGTAAAATTTAACTCCGGGTATTTTGAGTTTAATGAATTCTAAGGGAGAAAGACATGAGATTTAAAAGGTTGCTTGTAGTCAAAACAAGGGGTTACAGCGGTCATCAAACCTTGTTCCGTGATCTAAACCAAGGACACGTGATAGATCTATATATTTACTTGGAATGATTCCGGATCCGTCAGCAGTACACGTATTTTTTTTAATAATCTGTCTCACAGTCCATGAACCGCATTATTTCCCCTACTGCCCAGCCCATCCCGCAATGCCAAAGCCCTAAATGAAGCAAGTCTAGATTTCCTCTGTTTCAGGGTTTAATTTGTTATTATCTGCAAGAAAACTAACTCACTAAGGGGTCGGGTAACGAAGAAAACATATCTAAGTGACATGGCTGGCCGGACCAATATCCTAACCAGTTGTCTGACATTTGCATATGTCAGCTGTTAATTAACAAGCACGTGGGGTGGCACGAAGATTATGCTGTTGGAGGCTGTTGCACATCAGTCATTTTGACGTCACGGAAATGAACGAGGAATATTTCATTTGAAACCTCCGGCTGACGGCCGTACGGCAATTTCAAATGCCATTTGGCTCAATAATTTCGTGACCCACTCGTGAAATTACGGAAAGGGGCGAGTGGTGACATGATGTTTATCATTCCGTAATCTACAAAAAAGTGTGGCGTGGAATGAGCCGATATGCCTTAAACTGAAAAGGGTTGTTGACGTCAGGCGTCAGACGTAGATTTCACGGTGTATGCATGAATGAGGCGCTTTTATATAAATCGGTGATTTTGTGACAGAAAAGTGATGTAGGGAACACTGTAAGGATAATGTGGATCGCACTAAGGAACGAGGGAGACATGAGCATGTGTAGTGACGGCACGAGGGTGAGTTAGCCTTCGAATCATTACTTTACAAAATTTATGTTGCGTGTGAAAGAGGCTTCAGTGCAAATTCCAGGCCAATTTCCATTAGCCCAAAATTTCTACATTAACCCATTTCATAATGTACTTTCGACGTTTTTGGTTTCCCGTTTTTGTGTGAAAAAAAAGTATTAAAATGCAAAAAGGAAAAACAACAAATGGTACTCACGTATTACACCGGACATGTACCTACTATATTGGATTAGGTCCCTAACCCTAAACCCTAAACCCTCAGCCCTAACCCTAACCCCTTGAAATAATCCTAATAAATAGAATGCATTGACCGAACCACCGGACATGTACCTACTATATTGCATTAGGTCCCCAACCCCAACCCTAACCCTAACCCTAAACACTAAGCCCTAACCCTAGCCCTAACCCTAATCCCTTGAATTAATCCTAATAAATAGAATGCATTGACAGAACCGGCGAAAACACGACTGACGTGTCTAGTGTAATGCATTATTACCGCTTCGAAAAATAAAATACTAATAAAACACTTTTCTATGTAATGGTGCAAATTACTGAATGACAAAAAATATATATGTAAATTTAAAAAATTACAAAATACAAAATACACAACACATAATACCTCAGCAGCCCGTAATACAAATAAATATGAGCGTATTAGTGAAAAAAGAAAAATATTTCAAACTGGTGCTTGCAAAATATTGCGCATCCGCCGGTATACAACTACTGGAAACTCTCAACATCGTTGGGCTAATGCAATGACATAGCTCGTAGAGATGAAACACCAGTGAGCGGAGCTTATACGCACTCGCTGAGCCAGACAACTGTGTTGCCATGCAGGCGTCATAGGGCATTGTTTCGAGATCGTGCTTTCGAACAAAATCACATTACATTACGTAAAAGGGTATTATGACGTATTTTTAAAGTTTGTGGTGCTGTATTCTAAAGGTAGGCCCTGGAGCTCCTATAAAATTTAAATGGGGTTGTTTGTTACTATCAAAATTATATATTCAGGGACTCAGTGTTAGTCTATACAGAGACCATATATCGGTATATGGTCTCTGGTCTATAGCACACGGAGAGTTACGAATTTTCCCGAGAATAAATATGATCTACGATTAGAGTTATCTCCTCGTGGAAAATTAGATGTAACACACTATTTCATTGGTTCAAGTGTTAATGAAGTGACCAACCACAACTATTGTTGCAAATGTTTTAATTACGTCTGTAGTACTTGTCATAAAATCGAGATATTTTGGGGAAAAGGAGATTATTTGCAAGGTTTTTAGGTGAGTGTAATGTTAATCTGTTTTTAGGTGTTCACTTAAGTCAGAGTCATGAGGCGCATATGCGTCTGTATGTCTGAAAGTTCCAATAGATGTCCAAACCATTTCTGAATTTCTTGAATAATCAGCAGGACATTCACAGGCTAGACGAAAATAGGAAGTGTTGAAATCGATTCACGGAAAGGTCAAAACATTCGAATTTCGCAATAAACATGCCACTAATCCATTTTTGTTGAGTATTTAGCAACATTCAGTATATTTCAATCAAGGACACAATACTGGTATCGTTTTTGGAGGAGGAAAAAGGTAACAGGATGTCCGAGGATTGGGCTGTTTCAGTGTTGTCGAGTTCACGGACATAAGCGATATTGTATGTAGGATAAGACACGGGCCCAAAACTTGTCTAGTAAACATTCCATGTACGCAAATATAACTTGTCCATCCAAATTCAGGCACACCTTAGCAGTTAGGGAAGTGATAGATCCTTTTATCACATTAATGGGACAAGCACTTGGACAAAACAAGATAACAAAAACATTCGTCATGTTCAGGTTTGACTATTGTTTACATTGTTGATATGGTTTGTGAATTCTGAATTCTTCCATGTAATTCCATGGGAAAAAGTGATTTTCACAAGTCATAAATTGGAGCCCATTTAATGTAAATCAGCTGTGATAAAGTTACCCCTTCAGGGGTGGAAATAACTTTAAAATTGCTAGTGTACTCCGGTACAGTGGCACATGTAAAATCACTTGCCCTGATAATTTTTCCACTATACTGGCCAATTTTCTTGTTGATTGTTTAAATATACAACATAATTAACATTGGAAAGTCAACTGGACACAGGTAGAGTGTGATATACAAATTTGCTTGCCCGACAGAAAAAAACACTGGACTGGGGCGTAGGGCAATGGGTTATTTCCACCCCTGCCCTTACTCCAGATTATCCAAGGTTTGATTAAAAAATTAATATTTTTTTAGTGTAATTTTTAACCATGTTAAGTTAAGTATAGCTATTCGTTGGTTTCACATTACTTTTCAATTCGCTGTTCACATGCGCAGAGCGTGTGAAAACTATCCACTGGCATGCTTCCGGTTTGTTCGTATTTTTATCGATAGCGTAAACACTCCAAAGAAAGCAAAAATCAAAAGAAATATATAGTTTTATGTCGAATACAACTGATCCCAGTTGATTTATGAGAGGCCGGGATTAGTTAAATAAATAGCTTAAGTTATGTTAACAAGCTCTTGTATAAAGACATCTCACTACCACCATCCTTCCCGTAGATCCCCTTCTCACAACTAAACAAACACATCTCTGATGGAGTTGCAACCAAAATAGGACATCAATTATTGAAAAGCAGAGGCAAATGGAAGTATGTACTCAGCTATGAACAGTTGTCACAACGTAAATAATTTTCATAACTTTTATTTAGCGTGCATTTACACTATCGATAAACATACGACCAAACCGGAAGCATGCCAGTGGATATTTTTCACACGCTCTGCACATGCGCACAGCGACTTGAAAAGTAATGTGAAACCCACAAATATTTTATTTCACATTGTTTGGGATGGTATAGTATAGTATGAAATCTAACATCTAAGGACATCAGCTGTTTGTTTACAAATTTGACCTGAACACAAACTGCCCATTGAACTTTGACCTGACCATGTGCATGTTGTGGAGAGTGGACATGCTTCAGTAACCACAATTACCACTGGGTTTGGGACAGCCCCAGGGAAGGCTTTTCTCTGTAAACCATTGAAATACATTTGAATGTGGCAAAGGGGTGATAATTGTTGTCCGAGCCCTGGGATCAGGATTATTTTGTGTTTTTAGCCATTTGCCCAAGGACAAATTGCTACCTTTCTTTCCTGTTTTGAAAAGATATCACACTTTGCATGCTTCAAGGCAGTACAGTCCTTGGTTATGTAACTCTTTAATGAATTAGAATATAAGATCAGGTGTTACAGTGCTCATTGTTGCAGTTGGTAAAAGTCTTGTCTTCTCTCCTCCCAGGATTTGTGAACCGGGAGAATCATATTTGTTGGTTATATATTGTGAACAATTTGGTCTAGACATATTTGTCAAGAACATAAGGTATGCTATCATGACTTCAACTGCACATGCTTCCGAATTCCTCACATGCAGTAGCTGGTTGTATGTTTTGTTTTACCTCCTGTAGCTGGATGTTTGTTTTATGAAGTAGTCTAAACGTTATCTGTACCATGTTGCTTTTTTAAAAAAAATGTATCATTTTTATGTGTATGTACAATTACCTGGCCAAGCATTAACAATTAATAACATAATTAAATAGCAAATAATTGTTACTGGTATGAAGAAATAAGTCATGAGGTTCCTAATTGCATCTGAATTTTAGTTCTTTGGAAATTATACAGCCAGTCTTGTGCATGTTGTAAAAATGAGCTATTTCAGCTGTTCTAATTTCCCATCCTGACCAAAGGATACCTATTAACATCAGGCAATTTGCTTGAGTGGTCAAGTGCTTATTATTTGCCTTGGGCATGCATTAGAATGATCCTAAGCATTATTATGATTATTGTGTTTGATAATCTATGATAAAAAAATGACAGAAATATTCAATTAAACAATAGCTACTTGATGTTTATCGATTCAAGAAGTGAATGGTTGAAAACTGACATTTTCATAGGTTGTGCTTTGATGTTGTCATGCTTGATGTTTGATATTGATTGATTTGCATTGTGTCTTTTTCATTTTTTGTTTTGCTTTCATGAATGATTTGCTTGTTTCAACCACCCAGTATAGAAGCTGTGTTGACAATTTGCTAAGATGGATAACATTGATGAAATTGAAACGAGGCGTCTCCTGTCTTCACATGATCAGGTCTGCATGATTTTTCCTTTGTTTTAAATTGTTTATATTATGTGTATTTGCATATATATATGTTTCATTTTGAAATGTCTGCATTAGATCATCTTCCATGATGCAAGAGTGTCCATCATTTTTATGTCAAAGCCAAGGTTGTAACCTTTCCATTTCAAGCCTGGTTTTCTCATCTCAAAATAGGTGCCAGCTTTTGCAGAACATGAGTTGTGTCCCTTGTGATGAAAATGCAATATCCAGTCAGATCGCCGTCTTTTTGAATGGCTGCACATGATGACTACCACAGCCCATGGCATGGTCAATCAGAGAGCAAAAAGATTTGAGAGTTTATCCCTGAAAAGCATTGAAACAACAGATCTCCACAGTAAAGATACTTATTACACCCACATTTACTCTTGCAGTAACAGAGACATACAGACAAGCGAGACAACACAGTGTCAAATAACACTGCAGTATGAAATATAAAACCTTCATGGGGTGGGGTTGTCCCAAGATAGCACTGCATTTCAGCCACAGCAATAAGCATGATAAGGGTTCAGTTATTTGAGGTATGAAAACTGAATTTCTAATTGGACTAAAAACTTTAAATCCTGTCAAAAGTTTTTTGTTATAGCATAATATTTGAAATCATTCCTGCACAAATTCAACTGATGGTGGCTTTGGCCATAGCAGCCATGATTTCGGAACATTTTGAAAGTCAACATGTATTTTAGCACAGAAAAGTATTCTTGGAATAGTCTTGATATTGGCTAGTGGACACTCTTGCCTCAGGAAAGATGGCGCTAGGCGTAGTTTGTTGACTCCGATGAGTTAATGAGTGGTCTAACTGGTTCTCAGGCAAGCATCTCAATGAGACAAGTGTTATCTTTTAAATTTCAGCATGAAAAGACCCTGGTGTAAGATTTATGTTCTTTAGCTAGAAGATGCAAAAATTTAACTGAAATATCTTGATTGACTTGGACTGAGAAAAAGTTGTTGAGAACCAGTTCATCATGTCTTTGCTTCCTTTGTAAATGTACGTTAAAGTGATTGGAATGATTAACTTTATATTTATGTCAAACTGTGCGTTGTACTTTTACATGTCATATACTATGAAATTGGTTTGTTGTTCTAAATGTTTCTGCTGCAGCCATGTCAGGTTTTTTATTGAATGCTAAATACAGTTGAAAACTTCTGTACCATCCATGTCCTTGCACCCTGCCCTGCCCTGCCCTGCCCTGCCCCCCCCAACCTGGCCCATGTTGTTGAGAACTATATGAAGTTGATGAACTGGTCACAACAATGACAAATGATCAGTGTTGATTTAAGTTGACGGGAGTGAAGTGACAAAAAAAGGTAGTCAGTTTCAAATGGGAGGCATCAAGTAGATGTTGGTTCCCATTCTCAACATGGCATATCTGGGTTTTGCTTGAAAGATTTTTGCTTGATTGAAAAATATATCCCATAACTGAGTTTGGTATTTTTAATCTTGACGATAATCATTGCATCATTGTTGAAAGCTATGTGGCAATGCCATGATGCCACACTATTGAACGACCTGGATTATAATCATGATGATAGCACAACTGACTATGCTTGTGCTATCACCAGTATTCCTTGGAAGATCTGGTTTCTCGAGCAGCCCATGGTTGTCTTAATAGGCGAAAACAACAATCAATCAATCAAATATCTCCAGTATCACAGATATACATCAGCAAGTGATATTACTTCAGGCTGGCACAAAGTCAACAGTGAAGTCAAAGGGGAGTAACTCTTGGGAGACTATGACAATCTCTCAATGACCTCCCCATATATTGTTGTGTTGATTTATGAAAAGATTAATGTTGACCACAGAATTCCGAAAAGGATAAAACAGCATCACAAGTGAAATTATGAAAAAATATAATTACCTTTTACAAATTTTTGACCAGCTCAGTAACACAATTAGTTGAAATGGAATAACTCCAAGAGTACATATATCACTGCTATTTGTAAATAATGGTGAAGAACACCTTTAGAGTATTTTTGCTTGCAAAAACTCAATAATTTTTCGGTATTGTTTCACAGTTGATGGTGTGACTTCTGAGTCAGTTTTTTATTCATTTGTAGCAATATGGATCTGGAAGTTAAAAATTGTTTATATTTCAGTATGTCATTTCCAAACAACATATAATTTGAGTTGATGTCTGTAAACCAACTAATTCAACACTAGTCATATCAGTTTATCACTGTTCACATTCTTATTGAAAGACAGATGTCAACAAATAATTTTTTAAATGAAAAGGTACTTTGCTTGTATTAATGTTTTGTTTGGCAACAATTATATTTCTGTAGTGTTTGTTCTACCAATGAGCTGTAAACCACCCTTTGATTTGAACACAATCATGAATTCATATGAATGAATTTCATTATTAAATTGTTAATGTTGATTTATATGGACAGTGACTAGAGATGTAGGGGGTGAGTGAGTGAGTATGGTTTTCCACCACTTTTAGCAATATTCCAGCAATATCACAGGGGACACCAGAAATGGGCTTCACACATTGTACCCATGTGGGGAATCGAACCGGGGTCTTTGGTGTGACGAGCAAACGCTTTAACCACTAAGCTACCCCTACGCCCCAGTGATGTAATGGTATGACTGGGGTATGTCATTGTAACTACCATGATAACCTACATTGTCACCTGTAACAATTTCATAATATTACTTCATATATGCATACCTGATGGTTTAGTGATCAATAATAGTTGCATCTGTACTGTTATATTATGGGCAACTGCTGATTTCATGGTGACCATGGTTACCATGTAACAGTTCAATAGTTCAGCCTGTCAATCTACTGGTGTGCACAAAATGAAAATCACAGGGTTCTTGTCATATTCAAAATAACTGAAATTAAATTTCAAGACTGATACACAGGAGCAAATACTATACAAAACCTCAATGTGCCATTTGGCCCCATGACTCTCTTTAACGACAGATATGGTTCTATTGTAGATTACAGACAGTATATATATCATGATATATGGTCAAAGTCTACTAAAGACATAAACTACATCCAAGAGAAGACTATTTACATACCAATAACATTTCACTAAGCTCCCAAACTGACTGATCTTACAAAGTACAAGGCCTTGATGCTAGGCTGTAGGGTTACCATGGCTGTAACTTCTACCTTGTCCTGCTCATACTAATTGCTGTAGCGTATGTGTCAGGATAAGTATAAAGGATATTTTTATCTAAAAAATACATATTTTTCCTTATCCTGACTCATGCTTAATTGCTTGTCTCCTTCCTCTTGCGAACTATAGTGGAACACTTGAATCCCCTTTTGAAGCTCCCTTAAAAAAAGCTGACGTAAAATCACTCACCCCACGAGTAGCCTCCCTTTGCCCTTTGGCACCAAAACCCTTCACATGATCAGACATGCTCTTCACTCTCTCCTTCTTCGCCCTAGAGGACGGTTGTGAGAGCGCCTGGGTCCCCTATACGGCATTATATCCTTTTATTTTAGGCTTTGATTACTAAATTAGCTGTATACGGTCTTTAGCAAGGATATACCAGCAATATGGTTTGAAATTTGTACCAAATTTTCCGTTTATTCACGTTGTTGACATGTTACATTTGATGAAATCTTGCATTCGATTGCAGGTTTTTATCGGCTGCTGATCCGCATTCATTATGTCCTAACTGCACTTCTACATGTTCTTCCAGCCTCCGCTGTAAACTTTGTCAGCATTTATCTGAAATTGAATTTACTAATTATTTATATTCCATTCTTAGACGTGACAAGGACCAGACGACTTTTAGAAGTCATGTCTAAACAGAATGAATGCGTTGATAACCGAGTATTATTACCTGCTGAGATTCACCATTCCAGTGTTTTGCCGGTGGCTTCTACGGAGCTGTTGACTGTGGCAGATGGCAGCTCCGGGTCCAGGAAGAGATTGTCATCGTCTCAACTACCCTCGTCGCAGTCTAAGAAGACCAAGTCATCGTCTGCTCTGAAGAAGAAATCGTCTACAGATAAGACTTCATGGAAGTCATCCCTTGGGGCAGCAAAGAAGACGAGGTCCTTCGCCACAGATATCACCCCATCGGACGAAGCAGACGTATACAATGAACCACCCATCCTGATTCCTGAAGTAACAGTTAGGAAGAAGACGAGGTCTTCTTCTACAGTGACATCAGCAGCCATATCAAGACTTCAGAGACCAGAGACGACAGGCTGTCCTTGGAAGGAGCCTCAGCACTCTCAGATGCGCGTCATCTTTACAGCAGCAGCAGCAGTTGTCAGCGCAGACCTTCAACCCGGGTATCTTCATGCAGCAGTTTACTCAGCAGATGATGGACCTGATGGAACGGAGGTTCGCGAGGAGAAGGCTGCGGTGAAGACACCATCTACGCGAACCTGCAAAAGACCTGCAGCCTGCAGATCGCATCCGATTGAGAAGCAGCCTGCTTGAAGAGGGAACGATCATGAAGGATGAAGACAGTCAGCCTGCTTTGAAGTCAAGGGATGAGCCTGCAGTAGAAGAGGAGTGAAGGAGAACCAGGCGTTCACTGGAGCATCGCAGATCATCCTCGACTTGGACAATCATCACCGGTCATGCTTCACATCCCACGGAAGAGAATCTTCACCTTCCCGAAGGCGCAGGAATCGTCTCAAGACTCCTGGATCGATCACCTTCGCAAGGATCAGTAAGATCTTCACGTTCATCTCCATGCAGATCTTAGATAGAAGTCGCCGCGCCCAGGACGCATCTCCGCGAAGGCATTCGCGATTGTCTCCACGTAGACTCCACTCAGGGAGCAAGCACAACGGCAACAGTCTTCAGAACAAGATGCATCCAAATCTGAAGATGATGGTGAAAACATATTCTCCGATACAGAGATCAAGTCTTGGATGGCTAATGGATTGGAGCTTGCATCACCTTCTAAAGAGGATAATGAAGCATTCACATACATGATGTCAAACGACAAATTTGATACGCTCACCCTTCCACCCATAGATCCTGTG